CCCCAAAACCCCAAAACCCCAAAACCCCAAAACCCCTTAAAATTACCTTAAAGTTGTAAACACGTTTTGTGCATAATTATTTATTAAAAATGACTTCATTGCAGAAATTCGATGGAATAGAAGAATTGAAACAATCTAGCTTGATTGATGATAATGAGAAAGGATCTGCTTCTGGAAATAACCTACTTTCAAAGTCGGTTACAATGATGAAGTCTATTTCTTTGGATCCTCATAAGAACTTGCCAGAGCAAAATGCTCTGATTGGGTATTGATTAATGATGGTGGCTCTAGTAGGTATGACAATGCAGCACTTGTTCTCAAAGATGGCCTTCTTTTATAACCCGAAGCTGACTAGTTATGATGCAATGTTCACAATGGGACTCTTTATTTGGCCAATATTCTTGGTCTTGAATTGGTATTTGGATAAACCTTTTAATATATTAAAATTCGAGAGGAAGCAACAAATTATGCTAATAGTCAGTGTATTATTTTCAATATTGGTTAACTTTTGAGTGCTGAGTGGAATAGCTCTGATTTCTATTACTCAAAGTACTCTGATATTCCACCTCAATCCACTATTTTGTATTGTGTTATCCTTTATTATTTTGAGAGAGAAAACAGACTATCTTTCCATTCTTTTCACTTTTGGCGCCTTTGGAGGGATTTGATTGTTGACATTAAGTAAGAATAACACAAATAATGGTGAAAATGCTCATGAATTTTTAGGTATTACCTTTATACTTCTTTCTGCATGGCTGCAAGCCTCAATAATGGTTTTGTCAAGGATGATGGGCATTAGCAACATTCATTTCTTGCTGAGATCGGTATATAGCTCGATCGGATTTCTAGTATTTTCATTATTCATATGGCTCTTGGTCCCTTATAAAATCCAATTTCCGAACTACACAACGTCAGATCTATTACTATTATTCCTGAGTGCAATGGGGGTTGCATTACGTCAGCCCTTAATCTCACTTGCGATGATGTATCACAACTCCTCGAGGTTAGCCCCTGTAAACTACATTGAGAACATATTCACTCTATGAGCTGATTTCTTCCTGTTCAAGCATGTGTTCGTGACAACTGAGTATATAGGAATGGGGATTATCCTGGTGTGCCTGCTAGTTCCAGCTATTATACAGATTAAGAAAGATAATTAAATCAGTTTGGATTTAAAGAAAAGGGGTTTTGGGGTTTTGGGGTTTTGGGGTTTTGGGG